ATCAATGTAGTTTAATACATTGTTACGTAGCCTAATTTATTTCTGTTCTTGTTATAATTCTTACTTTAACAAAAGATTAATGATCTACAATTAACGTTTCGCAATAAAGTCTTCGATTTACAATTAACGCAGTTATTTGAGACCAATGATTAATTTTTTATTCAAACCAACATTTACTTGAATAAATCTTCGAACAGGACAAAAGTAGACAAATTTTAATTCCAATAACAAATAAAGATTTATTTGCAAATAACAAATAAGCATTCACTTATATCGGAGGAACAAGTTTTCACTGAACGATATCGATATTTATCATTCACAAATGAATTCCACAATTCCACTTTAATATACAAAATTCGCCCAACTTTGATTTCCATCGCGTGTCTGTGTGTGTGTATGTGTGTGTGTGTGCATGCATCTTTCAACGATTCGAAGAAGGATCGACGACCCAACGAAATTCCGAGGCAATTTATTCATTTGCTCTCGGAAAACGAACGACCATTTTATCGCGTGATGCGATTACCGTTTTACGCGGGCTTTAAAATGAAGTTTTACATTAAATTCCACACATTATGCATCGATTTCGTCTGTATACAGTGTGTTTCTGTCAACAGAAAACATCTGCTTTTCTTTTTGTTTTAAGAAGAACATGAGTATCACGAGGAAATGTTTAAAGTGAAATTTATAGCACGCCAAGTGCTACATATCGCGTTATTAATCGTTTGACCTTGAGCTGACCTTGAAAAGTCACATTACAATTTTTTAACAAAATACTACATTTTCTACCACGTGCTTTCGTAATCGATACCAAGCCAATTTCGAAACGACACAGATTTATTATTTTCGCGTGGATCGTTGTCGAGATATGAACATTCGAGATAGACGAAATAAAAAAGTTTGCAGTATTTCGAAAATGTCTGAATGTCAGACAGAAAGGTATGTAACAAAGAGTAAGGGTTCCATACAAAATCTTAACGTGTTCAGGATTACGTGAAGGTCAAGCGAATGATATGTGTAGCATGTTATGCCCTGTGACCTTTCTTCGTGTCGCTCGTACTTTTCGTGGAAATTAGGTGCTCTCTGTCGGCAGACGTATTGTATAATTGCGTGAATAAATTAACGAATAGGCGAGTACGAAAATAGTTTCTGGAATCGGTGATCTTGAGGAGATTGAAAATGGGAATAAGAGGAATAATTAAAAATAAATAGAGAAATACGAAAAATAATTGAAAATATTATAGCGATGAACAGAAAAGTGGAGAACGAAGTTTTTATTGTTTACAGAACTTATTTTATTATACTATTGTATAGCCTAATTTATTTCTGATCTTTTGTGCCATTAATTAAGGTGCCAGAGTTTAAGTTTCGTTTATAATTTTGATATGCCGTTAAGAAGTATTGCTGAAAGAAATATATATTCGTGTTACAGACAGGTTTAAAGGGTTAAACATAATACTCATCTAAGTTAAATTTTTTATTTTAGAGTTAAAGAATAATAAGTGATTATGAAATACGTTTTAACGATCGCCTTGAGGATCGTCGAAACATGTTGACTGATTTATGAACGAAGTTCTGGCGGCTTGTCGACTGATTAACGCTGTCAAAATGGCCGCGAGAATGGCCTTAGGCTTTCAGAAGGAACAGTAAGCGGAAACAATTGACTATCTCATTGATTATCTTCTTAGCAATTTATAATATCTATGTGCATAGTTTCGATTCGGTAAGAATGTTATTAGAATTGTTAACAATGATTATCAACGAGTTTCTGAAATCTACGTTGAACGTAGTTAATGTTCCTAATCTATTTGAATTATGCGGCAAAGTGAAAAATATTCCGGTGTCGTTGAATTTTTCCGTTTTCTTCATTACATTTGAATGATTGATGAACATTAAGCAAGTACATACTAGACCGTGACATAAAATCACGGTAATGGTGATTGATTATTCATTGTCTAGTAGACCAGATTATCAATGAATATTCAATTACTATTACCATATTATTACACTGTTACTATCATCGTCATCAGTGTTTACTATATTATTACAATTTCGTGTCATGATCTGTGTATTTATTTTCTATTAATGATACACACATAATGATAAAATTATATGCCAATATTATAATTCTTATTTATTAATGTAAATATTTTTCAATATTTTCCATACATAACGATTATGCATACTTTGAATAATAGTAGTTTAAATAATTTCAAATTGAATAATTTTAATAAATAATTAGCAACTTGATCAAATGGTTCTTTATAGTTTCCAAATGCTATAATGATAGCGTTTAGTTTGAATAATGAAAATTTATATAATCTAAATGAATAATTACCAATAAAACTTAACCCTAGAACTACCGAACATTTATTGAGGATGATAGTGTCAAATTAGTTAAATAATTATTTATAATTCCTATACTTTCCAACTACCATAATAACGATGTAAATGGGTTAACGGTAGAACTACCGCAACTGCCAAATTTAATTGTCTCATTTCACAATTATTGATACTTTCAAAATATTCAATACTCGAAATGTTTTCGAAAATACATAGTTTTACTTAAATACTTCAATAAATATTTTCGAAAATCTAAAAAAACTATATCGTCCCAATTCTTATAAGGATTACGTATCAACATATTATATATCCGAAATGATTTCGAAAATAAATAGTTTCACTCAAATATTACAATAAATATCTTCAAAACTCGAAAAGAACTGTTTCATCCTAATTTTTATAAGGATTACGTATCAACATACTATATGTCCCAAATGATTTCGAAAATAAATAGTTCCACTCAAATATTACAATAAATATCTTCAAAACTCGAAAAGAACTGTTTCATCCCAATTTTTATAAGGATTACGTATCAACATACTATATATCCCAAATGATTTCGAAAATAAATAGTTTCACTCAAATATTACAATAAATATCTTCAAAACTCGAGGAGAACTGTTTCGTCCCAATTTTTATACGGATTACCTGCCAACCCCAATAATTGCTCGGCATATCCAGCGTTAACACAGTATTTCCTTTGTATGCATGAAATTACGCTGACAAATCGCTGTTTGCCGGTTTTTCTCTGCATCCGGGCGCATAGGAAGCTCCGCGAGCGATTCGCAGGAAAAGGCCCCGCGCGTGTGTGCGCACCTGGCTCTGACTCGTAAAAGCGAGTCCTTGATCGTTTCCTTCGCGCGTACTTACCGAGTCGCACATACTTAATTAATATACACGCGCGCGGAACACGCGGAGCGTTACACACGTTTCTCGCGCGCCCGCTCGCTGTCTCTTTCTTTCTCCCTCTCTCTCTGTTGGTTGCACGCGGATGCAGTCATCAGAATGCAAAGATAAAACAAGGCCAAGTTAATTTCCTGTACAACGACGATTAATATTACCAGCCATTAATATTACCATCCCAAACGGATCGGGATGCAATGGCTAGTCGCGCGGCAGTTCATTCCGTGAGCTTAACCCTTGGTATCATGATTTTCTGCATGCGACGGCAAACATTTCTTATGTTGCAGTTTTCGTTAGCGTGTAACCTTGAAATTCTTTGGAAGTAATTGCAATACAGGAAGTGATAACGAGAAAAAATATTTTGCAACGTACAATTATATATAAATATATACAAATTTTTAATCGATTATTCTGTTACTTAATACATACAGAAATTCTACTTTGATATGTATATATTTATTAATATGTCGTTAGATCGTTAATCGTTAGATTATTAATAATTATTGCTGGTAACGTTCGTCTTTGTTATGAAGGAATAAGTAGTGTTATACGAAATTCCACTTGGGGACAACTTGTAGA